CCGGGTGTCTGCAGGAGCCTCCGTCTCAGCAAGTGCATACCGCGGACTGTTTCCATCCCCAGTTAGGCGCCCATCAGTCTGTGCCTACACCTCTTCTCAGGGACTCACATCCGGCAAGGTCTTTCCCTCCTCGAGTTCTCACCACACAAATGTGCCTTTTCTATTCCTCAAGGAAGACCGTTTTTACTTTCAGCTATTGCCCACTTCTTTATCCCTGTCAGCAAAACTTGAAAACCACCCAAGCGCCACCTCTATTGTCGCTTCCCATTCTTCTGTGAGCTCCCTCCCCATCCTGTCACAAGACTTGGTCATATCACGGGGCCAGTGACTTGTACTCTGCCAACTTCTGGGGCTAATTTTCAGGCCATCACATCTGTGCATGGCTCCCATTAATATGGAAACTCCATGAGAGTGGGCTACGTTGCTGTGTGAATGTTTCACGCCGCATTGTTCCAGCACCTAGAGCACTGATGGTGAACCTTTTAAGAGCTGTCAGTGATACAAGCAGCACATCTACCATAGGTTCGCGACCACCACTGATCTAGAGAAACGTCTGACAGCAGTGGCAAGTGGTAAATGAGTACAGGGGACCCTCAATTTACAAACTCAATACTTTGATGAGGGCTGGTTATAACTCAAATTGGCTGCAAGTCAAGACTTTTTCCCCTAAGAAATAATAGAAATACCCATAATATGTTCCGAACCTCCCAAAGCACCCCTTAACTAACCTTTTCATAATAAAGGATTGTATAATATGTGTAATTTATCAGAAACACCAATAATTTTCCCAGTGTATTCACCAAGGAGTTTTAAAATGCGCCTCATTTACCAAAAACAGTAATTTCACCATTCAAATTGACATCTTTGCTTCCACAAAAACATCGGGAATCTGGCTCTCGGGTGTTCTTTCTCTGCCTGGGAGAAGCAGAGACCTGTACCCCACTGGGACCCGCTTCTGGCTCACTAGGTCTCAACCTTTTCAGAAAAACTGGTCTACAGTTGTCTGTTTCTGTCTTTTAACACTTCTTTTTGACTGTGTTTGCTTTCTCTACCTTCCCTTCTTTTCTTAGTTTCTTTTCTAACTTTTTGTCATTTTAATAGCAGTAATCATAACAATTATATAATCATAACAATTATATAAAAAATAACAATTATATAAATGTGACTGAAATCCCATCCACAAACACGCACATCTTGGCTCAGACTGACCTTATGTGTGCTTACATGTGTTTTTCCAGCATTGTGAGTCTTTGTTTACAACTGCACAAGCAGCCAGCATTTGGGTCATAATGCAAGACTTTGGTTGTAAGTCAAATCTAAAGTTCTGGTTGTAACTCAAGTTGTTCACTATGAGGCCAATTCTAACTTGAGGGCCCACTGTGCTGCACTCCTAAGGCAAAGCATTTGCTCAGAAACAAGTTATTGGAGCTTATGTGCCATGGAGTTCCTATGAAACAACTTAGAGAATGTATGCCATTATAGATTACAATACCTGATAGTTCAGATTCCAGAACTGATCATTTTCAAGAGAAAAACAATGCTCTGTTCCTGCTGTTCTTCCTCTACCCACTATACTGGATTATTTAGAAACTCCTAATCTATCTTTAGGATGGATTAGGGACAGCCTTATAGAAAATGGCATTGTCACACAGGAGTGGTATGGCATGCCTGTAATCCCAGCACTCAGGAAGCTGAGGCAGGAGGCTCATTGTGAGTTCAAAACCAGCCTGGGCTACAAAGTGAGCTCAAGGCCATCCTGAACTGCATAATGAGACCCTGTCTCAAAAAAACCAAAAACGTGGCATTATCAAAAAGTGGGAAAGATAGGTGTTTGTTTTTTTAAAAACAGCATTAGTATACCCTCCCTCACGTCTTGTATTAGCCACTTAATTCTCAGGAAGAGAGCTCACATCTTAGTGGAGGTAATAAGGACACACAGCCAATAGGTGCACATATGGCCCTACGTCAGTACAGAGGATGGAGGGATATCTGTCATCTAAATTGAGACTCCCTTCCATGACTCCTTGTGGCATTCTGTGGTCTAGTTTCTGTGTCTGTCCCACCTGCGATGCTGCTTTGCCAGCTAAATAAACATGCTAAAAAAGGAATAATGTCCTACTGGTCTGAGTCTCAAACGTGATAAAGAAAAAACACTGACTCTACCTTTTTTCTTAGCCATGGTAAAGTAAATAGGAAGAAATGAACATATTAGGAGCTGCTCCTGTGGACCAGGACCTGAACTATAAATACATCACACTGACATATCTCATGATTTGAAGCCCAGGCTCCTCCATCCTTAGAAAAATATTCTTTCTCTTCCTTATCACTAGTCTTGTACTCCTTTTCTTGAAGGACAAGACACTGGTTCCTTTGGAAACCGTCTGAGACCATGTGCTGTCCATGTAATGTGAACCCAGAGCGTAGCCCGCTGGGAACACTGTGTGTCACACAGCCAGTAAAGCTAGTAACAGCTATAAAACTACTCTAGCATTTTGCATTTGTCTAAAAAGCTTTTTTAAAAAACTGTACTTCTGTAAGAATGCAAAGCATTTAATGAGATGAAATACTTTCTCCTTTTTTCATGACTGATATCCTTGAGGTACACATGTGATTTCAAGCCTCCATTTTTATGAGATGATAAACTGGCTTATTAATTTTTATAGCAGTTGGGCTATCATTTTATTATGATTTTCTTAATAAAATGGTGGATAAGACCATACCTTGCACACAGTATCAGCTCAAGGCTTGGGATGAGGAGGAGCTCACCTCACAAGGGTGTGCCATGCTTCCCCTATTTTTAAGGCATCATAGTTTTTAAACCCTATGCCCAGTTCAACTGAGTAAATGAACTTAGGTTCTTATTAAAGTATCTAATATTTTCTCATTTATTGTGGCTTTTTCCTTTGTTCCAGGTTTTTTCTGATGTATCTGATTAACAAAGATGAAACAGAGCACACGGGTCAGGTGAGAAATAAAGTGCCTTTAATTCAATACCGTGCACTTGTGTAGATCTGCCCTCTCCGAAGCCTTAGTGCACAGGCAGGCCAACCCGACAACCCCCACCCGTTAGGGTCGCGCATACATCTTCTATCACCTATGTGACCTAAGCAGCAGATAGATTTCCATGGCAACCTTGTCTATTCCTGTGGTGGCAAACTTACGGCATGCATGCCGCAGTGGCTGTTTGTCTCACTGAACGCTCTGAAAGGTTTGCCGTCACTGGTATTCCAAAGTCCTGGTAGTTCTTCCCACCACACACTGATTATTTTCTAAGCCATGGTGGTTATTGCTTCAGAGTACAATAGCTGGATGTGGGAAGAATATTATCCAAAAAAGACAGCAAAATATATGGAGTGGGTGGCCATATAAAGAGCAGGAAAATGAGAGTAAGATGGTGTGAGAGACAGCGTGAGGCAGATAGCAACCTCGCCTGAGGGTGCTGACAGGAATGTGGAGGTGTGCGGGAGACGATGAGGGAGGAGAGGTGTCAAAGAGCCTGTGACTAACAATGAAAAAGAAACACAAAGGTAGACAACAGTGAGAGGAGGTAAGTTATTCAACACTGGATTTGTAGGAAACCTTTACAGCTCCAACACTCAGCAAAGGGAGAGGCAGTTGATCTCTAAACGTGAAGAGCCGCAGCTCTCCAAGCCAGCACAAGGCATTCCCTCAACACCCATTCTTCTGGGTTCCCCCTAGTTAGTCTCTGGCAGGAGGGAGGGTGGAATACGATCTCCTCTCTGATAGTACTGTGACGAAGACATGAATTCTCATCCCCAAATTGGTAGGGGCTGGGAATAGAGCAAAAAAGACTGTGCCTGCTGGGATCGTATCTACTCCCATGCATTTTCGTACTGGAAGCCTAACTTGGCTTTAGCTTACAGTGGTGTAAAAAGAAGTCCCTTTTTTTCACATTATTTCAGGAATCTTATGTGTGGAAGATGTACCAAGAAAGGTGCTGGGATTTCTTCCCAGCTGGTGACTGCTTTCGTAAGCAATATGAAGACCAGCTTGGATAATCTGAACAAAAGATGTGCCACAGTCCTGGATGGTCAGCTTCCAGTGAAACAAAACCCTCCTTTTACAGTTCTGCAACATATTTGATACGTGACATTTTCTAAATGCCTCCTCTATAGGAAAGTATTTGTTAAAATTTTGTGATATTTGGAAGTTGATTTGGCTTTTTGTGCCTGATGGACATATACTGCGAGTGACAACCTATCAAGATGTGAACAAAGTGAAAAAGGGGACGACGGCGAGGAATTCCTACTTGAATGCCTGCGAAGTTTTTCACCTCTAATGTAACTAATCTGCTGCAGTGGCAGCACTGATAAAAGGTCCAAAAAGTCTTGAATGCATAACACCTAAAATTTTAAACACCTGAATGTCATACAACAGTTTTCACCAGTGGCTCATGGTCTGAACTACACAAAATCATGTTAACTGCAGTCTAATTTTTCCCATGGTACTTGCTAGTGACTGTAACCAGAATCAGCTTGAAAAGCTTTAAGCAGTTAATGAAATAGAAAACAAACCAATACTTCATCGACACTGAAACACTGATTAAGTGCCTTACAAACCTCTTTAGATATAGCTATGCAAGTTTTTTATGTTTGTGCTCCAGAAAGACAGTTCCATTAAACAGTTGTGTTCAGTCTTACTTTCTAAAACTGCACTGGAAGGTTATTCATAATTTTTTCAGTAACAGCTTGTCAACTGCTGTTATTAGGAGAAAAGTACTGTACTGAAAATTCAGAAAAATCTCAATCTTATGGCAAAATTGAGTAATGCTTTAGGGTCCCTTGTAAGTAGTGGAGCTGCTACGTTTTAGGTGAATTTCTCAAATAAAATGAAGTGCCCACTGCAATAAAAGTAACACATACCAATCTGTGGTCTGGCCTTATTAATATACTCTTCTGAGTGATTCTCAGCCTCGCGGTGACTGCTCGGGAAAAGGACATGAGACAGTAGCCTACAGCTCCACATAAGGAAAACAAAAATCCAGAGACTACAGTGTGTTTATTTTGGCCAAACGTGTGCCTTGTTGCTTGCATGAGTTCTCATAGTAAGCAGAACCTGCTGTGCTGTAAACACCAAGAGGAAGGAAGATGGAGACACTGGGGTGACACCTGCCTTAGGGAAATCTATTGGGTTACTAAGCCAGAAAACAAATGCAACGGGCCCCACGTAGGTATTGTTCCGGATGCGGTCAGGCAGAGGCGCTGATGCTGAAAGCACAACGCAGCACACCAGCGGGGACGTGCTGGTAACATAACTGGACTGAGGACAGCCTGACGTCCACTGCACTGGAAAGGCCACCAAATGTGCTTCAGGCACTCTTTTTTGTGTTTAGGAAATCATGCTGTCCAACCAGTCTTCCAGCTCTTCCTCAGTCACATTATTAGACGTACTTGGTTGCTCAGATTCTACATTCTTCTCTTCAGTCACAGATGGCTCTGCGGGAACTAGGGAAATAAAAGCAGTGTTAACAACCGCGCATTAATACCAACATCAAGGACCAAACCTTCCCCGGGGTTTGTTCCACAATATAATTCAGCCCTACTTATTACTTTCCCATCACAACAGGAACATTCTCATTACTGTTACTCCCCCTAAAGATGATACAATAGCAAAACAAATTAATAAATGAAATAGAGATTTGGTCTATTTATTCTGAAGTTGAATTTCACTTTTCACTATTTTTTTTTAAAAAGACCAACAGTTCAGCATTTTTTTCACATTTGTAGCATTTCTGAAAGATCATTAATGCTTTTCATATGGAATTCATGAATGTAGCAAAGGCCTTAGGCCTCCTCACCATCTCACAAAAAATACACAAATGAAAAAGAGTTGTTCTTTTGTATCAAATCAGATAGAAATATCAAGAAAAGAGTATGAAGAATTGGTTTACAGGCCTGTTCAGTCAGTTAAAAGGTCTGCTGCTGAAAAGCTGAGAGCTACAAGCAGCTAAATGTCTTTTTACAGCAGAAGTTCAATTTGCAGCTGCAGGCTTAATACTGCAGTCAGCCAGGTAGCACCTTGCAAGCTGGGTAAATCGAGTGAGAGGGCTGGCGTCAGAAAGGTCAGCCCAGGGGGAGCGGTGAGCACAGAAATAGATGTCAGGGACAGTGCGGGATCGATGTCAGACGCAGAGCGGTGTGCACGGATGTGGGGGGTGGACCGTTCCACAAGAAACACCCAAATGGAGAAGATGCACGGGGAGTAGTGGAAAGTCATACCTTGTTCCTCTTGTGCCACCTCTCCATCTTTCTCAGATTTCAGGTCCTGAGGTGTCTCTTCTGGGACGCTGTCATATCCCTCTTTTACAGGCGCATCTAAATTAAGCAACAGATCTAGTTCTTCTTCCAAATGGTCTGCTGCTGACTTCAGTGAGGAATCGGGTTTCCAAGAAGCCCCTGAAGGACCGGGTCTTGGGCTGTCTTTGCCAAGGGACCCAGGGCAGCCAGCAGTGGAAGATCTCAGCTCTGACATGGGGCCCCTTCCTCCAGGCCCCAGGGACCCCTTTAACGGCATTCCCAGTCCCTTGCCATCATCATTTCTCTTTGGTTTTGCCTGAGGAAGCTCTAAAGGAACCACACTCTGAAAAAGAAGTAAACAGTCAAGTTAAAAGTGTGTCTTACCATATCCGCTTAGGTAGAAACGAAACACTGGCCATCTAACTTTGAGGAAGGAGAAACTTAGTTCAGACACTTATTTCACAAAATGTCTCCCTTTGGGGCCCTGGCCCAACATCCTTCTGACTGACCTGAGGCAAACATGAGAGAAGTGACGAAGACATAGGGCTGTGTCTTATTTTCTTCCTCAGCCACTGCTGGCTAGCCTAAAGTTAGAATCAACAGGCCCACATCTTCCTGACACTGGCCCAAAAGCTAACCATACCACAGGTCTATTTGAATTGTAGTTCAATATGTAATGACATAAACATCTGTAAAAGTCACCAAGAATTAGCAAACCAGGCCTGTTCGTTATATTTAAATGTGTTAACATAAAAGGAGCAGAAAAAATTCCCCAAGAAGAAAATAATGACTCTCAGCAACATTATTTGAGTAAAATGTACCAGATAAGAAAGAAAGCATACTATTTGTTTAAAAAACAACAACAACAACAAAAAAAAAACAAGCCAGGACAGTGGTTCTGTTTTGGACAGATGGGGAGTTGGAGAGGGTGTGAGCGTTGGCTTCTGGGGGACTAACACTATTCTGATTCTTGACTTGGATGCCTTGACCACGGTCGTAAATATGCAAGTGTGCACTTTTCCAGAGCCGTGTTACATTTTAAAGAAAGTTAAACATTGCCCAGATTGCAATCTAAACAAGAACCCCACTCTAAAGACATGGCTACAGGGTGATCAGGGCCTCAGAGCTGTGAGACTAGAATGAGGTTCGGCCTTTACTAGGGCACTGATCCCTTGTTTTTCCTTTAAAGGGTCCTGGGTAGATCCCATTTGCTAATAAGGCCTACGGGGTTTTATGGATATTCAGTCCAGTCTGGCCCTGTACATACAAACTGGACTAAATGTCCTGCATGGAGCACTACACAAGACAAAGATGGGATACGGCCTCTATTCTAATCCTAAAATCCTTTCACCTGGAGTGTCTGGCTGTTTTGTTTTGAACTTGCTAGATGATTCTAACATGTAAGCAGATTAAGAAAACTCGTCTAGGGCATGGTGGGAAAGGGGGAGGTTCCTCTTGTTGTTTTCTCCATTTCCAATATATCCCTCCCAAACCCTGTTAACGTCACCTCTGACGTCCTGCTCGGTAAATCCACCTGCTGCTGTCCCCAGCATCATTCTAGGCCAGCCACCATGCTGCTCCCCTGGCCTCACGCCGTTCTCACACTGGGCCCCTTCTCTGTCTCCACTTAGACAGACACCCGCATTTCCAACCCCACAGTCTGCTGCCAGAATGTTCACTGTCATCCTGCCGTTTTTGTTAAAGCAGACCTGACTGGGTGACTCTCCTTTTAAATTTCAGCTTAAACTTTCTTAAGCTGAGGTCTGCAGGTTATCAGTCACCGCTTCAGGAAGGCTGTCCCTGGCCACTCCCAGCACATCAGGCTCATGGTCATGCACTCTCACGGCACACTGTACTTCACAGGACTTACTACAGTCTGTATACATATGGTGATTACTGCAGTTACTCGGCTAATATCCACCTGGGCTAACAACATTCCAAGAAGGCAGGAATCCTCTCTCTGCTTACCACTGTGTTTCTAGTGCCTAATACAGAGCCTGACGTATTCTGAGTAAAACAACAGATTAAACATTTCATTTACTGTCATTGTACTTGAGCTTTTAAAATGTTTCAAATATAAAACATAAAGTAACTTTACAAATCCTTCAAACTTTGCAAAATGATACCTTAATACAAAACCTTTATCTTAGGAAAGTCTGAGACATCCTTTTTTTTGGAGACATCCTACACAGGGATATTTTCCCTCTAATTCTTCTGGCCCAACACAAAGCAGTTTATAGGTACCTTCAGGGGCTTTTACCTGGATCAGCTCCGCAGCCACATTGAGTCGAAGTGACAGAGGAAGTTCTTGAAGGGCTTGGACCAGTGACACACTATCCACATAAAGTGCTGAATTCTACATACATGTATTTTTAAAAGAAAGAAAATAGCAGGTGATGATTAAGTATGACCTTTTGGAAATAAAAAAAAAATAAACTGTTTACTGACATTACTTTTGGCTGGGAATAAATGAAATCATAAATCACACTTGAAGGGCAGCAATTTCTCTCTCCACATAAATAACAGTACAGCTGTAATCCCAGCACTCTGGGAAGGTGAGGCTGGGGGGATGGCAAATTTGACTGCAGCTTGGCCAAGCTGAGAACTTAAATGAGACCCCGCCTTAAAAACAAAACAAAACAGAACAACTTTCTCGAAGCCCCCCTCACACTCTCAGGGCAGCAGCAGGGCAGTGATCACCTTCACATCAAGATCGCACAGGAAGCTACAAACTGTAGATGCCTTGCAATTACTGGAAAGTGAAAGAAAACTAGGCATTTCATGAAATCTAACTGGACACTTCCCCTATGTTCAGATCGCTGGCCTTCGGCAGAGAAGAAAAGGGCTGGTCAGATACTGAGATAGGGCTCAAAAGCATTCCTGAAGGAGCTGCACACATTAAGCCTCTGAATCCGGAAGCAGAGAATGGAAACTTACTCTCTCTAGCCAGCAGCACTCGGTGTGGTGCCATCACTAAAAGCTTCTTTTTACTCCTTTATTACTCAAGAGGTCAAGTGTTATTGATGCACTGACCTGTCTAATTGACCATGTGAGAAAACATTCCAGATAATCCCCTCATCAGAACTGCTACCTGTAAGGGGGCCTTGGACACCAAAGAGAAGCAAAAACCTAAACGATATCACGCTGGTCTCACACAGAAAAGCACAGAGAAAAGCAAACATCATCCATTACATTTAGTTAGCCACACTGTCACAGGTCCAGTTAGCACCATGTCTTATCCTGTAGTCCCTAACTTGAAGTTGAGGAAAAGCCAGGGTCACTTAGTTTAATCTGTACTGCAAGAATGTTTCAAGTTGATGAGTTTACACGGACGAGATGTAGGCACGTTGCTGGTGAGCTTAAGCAGAGCCCTGCTCCTAACTCCAGACTCACGGTAGCCACCAATCACTCAACAGTAGTATAGGAGGATCAAGACAAGCATCCAGATTTCCTCTGACCTCTTTTCCATCATATGCAACACGATAACATGGTAGTACCCTGTGAACAAACAAATTTATATGACTGAACAGGGAACCAGAGAATTCCCTAGCTATGTTTATGGGACAATCAATCTCAGATGACAGAAGTCCAGCTATGGTCCCCCACTGGAATGTCTTCTCCCATACTGCTAGTTCCCTCCTTCACCCAGTGCCCATGCGACTTCATACTGTTACACAGACAGACAGCAGACTTGAGGGACAAAGGGGGCCCAAAATAGCATGCTTTGCCAGTTAAAGAAATAAACACTTCAATGTATCATATGTTTAGAATCGTTTATTAGGTCTCAAAGAGAAAAACATAGGGCTTTTATTTCTAAAATAAGGCAGACTGCATTCCTGGTTGCCATTTCTATAGCCCATAGATATCAGGAAAGAAAATGCTCTTAGGGGCTGGGGATTTAGCTCAGCGGCAAAAGCACCTGCCTGGCAAGCGCAAGGTCGTGAGTTCGGTTCCTGGTACCAGAGAAAAACAAAAAAAAAAACAACAAAAAAAGAAAATGCTCTTTAAAGATCCTCCTTTCTTGGGCTAAGATCTGATTTTGTTAGGAAAGAAATTTAAACACAAGAAATTCTAAGTTTCCAACATGAGTAAGAGCCATTGAAGGAACACAGGCCATCTGAAAAGAACAAGGGACACATCTGGCAATTCCAAAACAAGTTTAAGAAAACTGTCAATCAGCACCATAAGCGCCATTGCTCCCTGGAACACCAAGAGTAACTCTTGTATACATAAACAGATACCCAGACTTGCAGTCAATATATATGCCTTCAGGGCACTGCCCGCCTTCCCGCCTACAGGCACTTGTTAGGGCTTGTGTTTAGATGTCCCCTGAAGCCTCATGTGGTCACAGGTGGGGTTTTTTCAGAGGTGGCTGGATCGAGAGTGTGTGATTGATTCATGGTGCAATGCTAGGATTAAGGGTGTGAATACTGCTGCTCTTAAGGGTGGGTAGCCTGGATAAAATACAAGGGACAGAAAGAGGCTTGTTGCTAACTGTAGTTGGTTGCTTGCTTGCTTTTGCTGTCTTCTGCCCGTCAAGAATTGTTTCTCTTCTGTGATGGCCATCTGCCGTGCCACAATGAGAGAAAAGTAACTAAGACAGATGTAACTCCATCTACATCCACTTTACAATAAATTCTATCTATAGCCCGCATGGTCATTTACGTGTCCTGACTGAATTCTTTCATCAAGGGCAAAAAAGACCAAGGAGTGAGAAATAGTTCTTCACGGCAACAGGCCCCAGCTTCCCAGTGACCACACCACCTCCACAATGCCTTCATGACACTTCAGGTCACAGTGATTTCTCCTGTCTCCTTGCAGGACTCCTGGGGCCACAACCCACCATGAAATTTTGTTAAGACTTTCTATGCATTGTCACTAATCTATCCCATAACAGCTAAAGCTGAAGGCCTCAGATATAAAGTGAGCTGACATGAACTGATTTAATACTAAAGTGTAAATTTAGAAATAGGTTTAATTGGGATAACCATCATAAATTTGTTTTTTGTTATATGCCTTAAAATAATTGTAATGGGGAAAAAAAATCAAGATATCACATACAGGTATAAATTCCCTATGATAAATGTAATCATTATGTATATCTAAAATGTACCAATTAAAATCTGATTAAAAAATAAATAAAAATTCTTCAAACAATAAAAGAAAAAAATTGTTATGGTTTAGATCTACAACACACCCCTCCACCAGTTTCATGTGTTTAGAAGTGAGGTTAATGAAAAGCAATTGGATCACAGGAATGCTATACTCATTGGTGCATCAATCTACAAATGAGTTCATAACTGAATGTGGTGTTAGGAGGTAGGGTTTGGTTAGAGGCAGGTACCCGAGAGCATAACCTAAAAGAATGTATTCTTGTCCCCAGATTATCCATTCTTTCTCTCCTTTTTGACTGCTACAAGTTAAACAGATTTTCTCCACTATGCCCTTCTGCCATGCCATCTCCTGCTCTCAAGCCAGCCAACCATGGACTAACCGCAGTAAAATTGTGAGCCAAAGTAAATTTCTCCTTCTTTAAGAGTACTGTACATTTTGTTCCAGTGACAGAAAAGTGACTAATATAAGATTGGTACCAGTATTATGATTTATAACTGTACCTAACCATGTGGTTCAAAAGTCTTTAAAACTGGTTCACAGAAAAATTTTAAAAAGGTTTGGAGATGTAGGCTTAAAAAGCCCTAAGACCCTATAAGCAGAGTGTGACTGGTTTTTATGTTTGGAATGCAAACAACCAAAATTCTGACAAAAAGGTCTTGGTTAAAAACAAGGACTCTGTTAAAAACTGAACTACAGGCAATGCAGGCTCATTCTGATAAAAAAAATTATCTGTTTTATCCATGTCCCAAAACTTTGTATGAAACTAAATCTACAAATGGCAGACTAATTAATCTGACAGAAAAAAAAATTCAAGACAGCCCAACATTTAGTCTGTGACATGAAAAGAGGTGGCTACTTTTACCCAGATCTACACTGAAAATGAGTACAAAACACAGGCCAAAAGAAGTAGAAATTTTGCACCTTGGCAAAAACAATCCTCCACAAAAGAAAACATATAAAGTTGAAGCCAAGGAGACTATGGTTACTTGAAAAAAAAAATACAGCCACTTTAAAAAGTCAAATATTTTACATCTGGACAATAAAAATGATGTCTTAAGGGCATCTCAAAAGTTGGTCATACTTATCACAGGCTCAAGGGTGTAAAACTCCATTAAAAGAAAGAAAAGAGCCCCAAGGTAGCTTTCTCGCTCAAAGCCACTAGAAAAGTGTTTCCTCAAATTCAGCCTTGCAGGCACTGCAGGTCACTGCAGCCTTAGTCCAAAGGAGCCTGACTATTGCTTGAGCTGACAGAGCTGCTTGCATCATCCGTGTGGCACCAGCTGTGGTGACGTGCAACACACAACAGCCATGGGGCCATGGAGGCTTTAATCCAGATTCCAAAAGAAGGCCTGGGAGGCCAGAAAATGGGCCTCTAAAAGGACAATACATAAAGCTATAAAAATAATCTAAAAGTACAGCACAGGCCCCCAAAAGTTGAAGATGCCAAAAATATAAAACATCCGCTAAAAACAGTTATGGACAATAAGGAGAGCCAGCCTGAGAGAGAGGCCACATGGGCTGCAACTGACAAGGCCACAGGGGCAGGGTGCCCAAGCACTTTAGGCTCAAATCTCACTACAACTTGCCCTGGGTGCTAGACATAAAGTTACAGGATTTAAGGTTTGCTCTACCAGAGTTCAGTCTTGCTTTGGTCTAATTCTTATGTCCCTATTCATCCCTTTTAAAATAAATATTTACCTTGTGCTGCTGTATATTAAAAGCATTTAACTTTCTTTTTTTATTTTTACAGGGGCATGTAGCTAAGCATTTACCTTGAATCTCAAAAACACACTTTGGTCTTGGACTTTTCAACAATGCTAAAACTGTTAAAAAAAAATTGGTCACTCTTAAGAGACTGATTAAATACATTTTACATGGTAAAATAAACATGCAACTTTTAGGAGTCTGGGGTGGGATGTTATGGTTTAGACCTAAAATGTCCCCCTAGGGGCTGGGGATCTAGCTCCGTGGCACAGTGCTTGCCTGGCAAGCGCAAGGTCGTGAGTTCGATTCCCCGTACCAGAAAAAAGCCAAAAAAAAACAAAACAAAACAAAAAATTGTCCCCCTAAAAGTCTCATGTGTCAAAGTGGAGCTTTTAAAGGGTGACTGAGAGGTTGCTAGACTCACTGGTAGATTAATTCATCAGTAAGTTCCTAAGCTACACGTGCTCTTAGGAGGTACAGCTGGTAAAAAGAGGAGGATCAGTGGAGGCAAGACCTGGAAAGATATGTTATTCTCCTTTCTCTTGCTGTTCCCTGGCTGCCATTGGTTACAAAGCTTTCATGCACCATGCCATTTCTGCCTTGGAGCCAGGCAATCATGGGCTGAACCCTCTGACACCATGAGCCAAAATAAACTTTTCCTGTTTTACACTGCAGGTGTCAAATATTTTGTTATAGCAATGAAAAATGTATCTATAGTGTACAGTTATTTTTTCCTAGGGGCCCAGATCCCACATCCACCTGGCCAGCGCTGACAGTCCTAGCAGTGGCCTGACCACTAACAAGAGGACCATATACCCAGAAGATCTTGTAAGGGAGGGTATAAAGAGGGGACACCCTGATGCCTTCTCACCCATGACCCTGAGGCCAGGAGACAGGAACACCCTTGCTGTTAGAACAATGTCTCTCCACCCTATTCCTCCCCCAGCAGTGTGCGTAGAGCCCCGTGTAGGTGGTGGGAACCTGTAACTCTCAAGGCGTTCTCCAGTCGAGCCCCATAGACTCTAAGTCTCAGTCTTGTGTAAAAGCACACTCTCTGAAAAAAAATAAATCACTTCACCAAAAGTTCTCTTCTCACCCATTTCTTCCTTACATGATCCCCACATGTGCAAAGCAAAAACGTGAACATCCCACTCTCGTACCTAAGTAGTGGGCTCTGTTAGGTGATGGACCTGGCACGGCTCATGCAGAGCACCCTGACTGCCAAGTCCTTCCCCCTTCACCCTACAAGTCAGCCCTAGTGAAATCAATGTGGGGTGAAGCTGAACACTGTGTCCCTCTCCTCGAAGATTCCCTGGGAGAATTTCTAGCGTGTCTCACCAGGAAACTTCTTTCATTAAACTACAAAGGCAAAACCTTTTTCCCCCATCCTTATTATCTTACATCACTGGGCACATGGGGTCCATGCATGGGAAGGCATGAGGATCAACAACACCTGGAAACACGTACTAACAAAAAATTATAATAAATTATAATAATATATTTAAAAACTAATATATTGAAACTAGAAAAACTGGCAACATCACAAATCGTTCTTGTCCCATGTCTCACATGTGGTCAGTGACTGCAGTCCAACTTATCCTCTGCCGAGGTCCCATCCACCCCTAACCTCCTTTTCCACCCTCACCCCTTTGTTCAAGGTACATCTCCTAACTGGTTTACCTTCCTCCAGCCTCTCATCTGTTCAGTCTTTCTTCCCAGAACTGTTAGAGTTAAATCTCACCATTTTCATGTTTTTGCCAAAGTTTCTTAAATTATATTAGTAATAAGAACTCATTTTTGGTTTCATATCTGTCAGGAGCTGCACTAAAGGGCCCTAATTATCTAATTTAATCCTCACTACTACAGTTTATCATTAGCAGCATTTTACATAATAGAAAGCAAAAAGAAAATTTGCCCATGTCATAGAATTAGGGTTCACACTCAGGGCCGTGTTTCCAAAGGCTATGCTCTTACCCACATGCTAAGAAACCCCTGAACACAATGAAGATCAAATTATTGGTACCATCTTGCCCAGAACTACTCCTGAAGCCTCCTCCTCTGGGAAAAACTACACACTGACCACACTTCCAAGTCTGAACACAATCCAGCTTTCCCTCCTTTCTCATTGCTCTCAGGGAGACAGAAGCTACCAGAATCATACCCATCTACCAAGGCCCATTCTAATGATCTTTTCCCCATAGTACTACTCTTAATCTCTCCCAGTCCAAAATAGCTGTCTCTAAGAGTATTATGTTGATCCATTTATCACAACGCTTATTTAATGTTGCTTTAATTTTTATTTATTGTGTAAATATCTGCTGAACATCTAATATGGGTCAGCCACTGGGTTCAGGTAAGCTGTATCTAATACAATATCTAGTAAATAACAAATGCTTAATGTTTTGATGATGACACCAAGGACCATATAAAACTCTGAAGATATCTGAAATATTCTCTGCCATCCAGTATGGACCAGAAATAATTGATACGTGAACCATTTGACTTTCACTGTATTCCTCAGCAAACTCAGGTTGCCCACTTTAAACTAAGCTGTACAGAAACCTAAACTGTACTTCAGGTACCAATAATCCTGTGCAGGGGGTACCCATTATCTCTTATATGGAAAGAATCTGTGAATTCCTATTTGGAAGAAATCAGAACCCTGGGCAAGAAACTACTGGATGAACACACATACAACAAATAGAATATTTGGAGTTTATAGATTGACTGAAGGACTTCTATAACATTTGTTCCTATGTTCTAACTTTATTCTCTTAGTGATACAGAAGAGCTGGTTAAAACTATAAGAATAAGGGTATAGTGTAGGAGAAAAGGTCAATTTTTAGCTCTGAAGAGAACTGTCATATATTAACAAAAAAGAAAACAAAAACAAAAACAAAAACCCCAAGCTGCAAAACAATCTACTGTCAAAATCATGACTATGTACTTTCTGCCTCACAACTCAGCCTATGAGTAATTCACACAGATGGCAGGTAGAAAGCTGACCTAAAAAAAAAAAAAAAAAAAGAAAGCTGACCTCACTCTTGAAGCATCTCTATAATTTCAGTCCCCTGAAATTTTTCTGGACAATTTAGGTAACTGGGACAAAGCTGGAGGTGAATTACAATTCTTTTCCACCTGCCAACTCTGTTTCAAAAATAACAGGGAAGGTGCTGGTCCTTCAGCCTTGAGAAGATCCAATCCACATTCCAGACAAATCTGTCTTACCTGTTTGGGACATGAAGTTTCACCATCCCATTCTTTCTCCTCTGCAAACCGGAACTGTGAAAAGGAGTCCCCTAGGAATAGAAAGAAAACAAAACATACAATCTTATGCAAAATCCAAGGAAAATCTCAGTATCTCTAACCTTCCCTCTCAGAGCAAAAGTACCATTTCTGCAGAGCTAACCTTCCCGTATTCAGTGACACCACCCTGCAAGGGCCTGGTCTCCACGCTTTTACACACATCTGTGCACTGCAGGCACACGAAAATACCACTGGCAATTGCACTCCCTGTTCACTGGCTGTTCAGGGAGCTTCTTGAGAGATAAGTCAACAGTTCAGGCCTGCAGACAAGACCACCCACCCACATCCAGCATATTTCTATCCCCTCTGCTTAATGTTTCCATGGCAACTTGTAATTTAGGGAGTGGGCAAGGCAGAAAAAGGAAGAATAGGACTAATAGAAAGCAATTCTAGACTGATTCACAACAGACTATCTGAGAAGTCACCAACCTCCACTCTCATTCCAAAACTCATCTGGCTAGAATGTCAAATGTAAAATAAAGTCCAAAGAAAGCGTGTCAGAACATAATGTAAATCACGGTGCACTACTCTGAAGTCCTGGAGCGGGGCTCTGTCATAGGGCCACTTTGAAAATGTGTACACACCTGACCGCTTGCATTATAAACAGTTCCACCTGGCTTTTAAAATCCCCCAAAGTTTAGTCCCACTTCCTTATCCCTCTTTTACTTTCTATCTTCTCAGGCTTTCTATTACAAAGTCAGACTCTTCACATTCCACGCATGCCTCATATGCCATCCCATTCTTCATTCCTTTTCTTATCCCTCCCCTTGTCGGGAAGACCTGGTGTTTCTACTAATGTATATTTCAAGACTCAAATACACGGCAGGCCACTTCTTTCCTCTACGACACCTCCCCAAGTAAGCTAACCACAGAATTTATTATTTTCCTTTAAATTAGAGGGCAAAAAGAAGGAGAGGAGGCTCAAAAATAAAGAGACAGACAAAGGTAAAATTAGAACTGACCACCTACTCCACGATATACAAAGTGCACAGATCACAACATGAACATATCTCAACATCAAAGGCAAGGTAAAAGAACCAAGGAGAAAGAGTAAAATCACAGTTGTTAGTCACTGGTAAATCCGTTTCATTCACCAAAAACCACAATATAAAGGCTCTCATTAATGTAACAAGGAAGGTCTTGTATGTAAATATGTGTGTGCATGTATACGTTGTGGTTGTAAGTGAATTTACTGTGTAAATACCTGTGCAACACTAATTTTCAAAAGTACTACTACTAGGCTACCAAAACCCTCAATAAATTTTAAAATGCAGTAGTCATACAAACTTGGCAATAGCATATAAAGAGAAATTAATATTTTTAAAAGTTAGAAATTTGAAAATTTTCTCCCACATGAGTTTTTCAGAAGAAAACAAACTGAGAAACTACATTGAAGATATCAATACGTAATACAATAAGCAATGTTAATTCCCTACCACTCTGTTTGTAACTCTGTAATGTCTGTACTGATCCTTTGCTATTTTGTAAAATGATGTCAGTCTGTTAGTATTTTCCTCCTTTTATTTCTAAAATTAAAAAAAAGAAGAAAACAAACTGTAGAATTAGAAAATAGAAAGGAGTAGTAAATATAAATGTACCCATAAGATATGAGTAAAGCTCTCCTTAGAGAAAAAGGTGGTCTTAAATACGCCCTTACTAAGAAAAGAATGAATTTTTAAATGGCAGTCAATTGTTTTACAAAGTTAATGGTGAAAAAGCAAAACAAGGAGAAGCTGGTAAAAAGAAAAATCCTCAGCAAACTAGGATTAGAGGTCCCATTCAACCCATCTATTCTCCTTCTGGATGTTTTTCAAGAAGAAATGAAAACATCATACCACAGTGATATATGTTCACCCATGTGTATAGCAGTGCAATTTGTCATAGCTAAATCTTGGAAACAATCCAAACGTCCATCAACTGAGGAGTGGATAAAAAAAGGTGTGGAATTATTAAACAAAGGAGTATTACTCAGCTATAAAGAAAGATAAATTAGATGCTTTTAGAGGTAAATGGATGCACCTAAAGACCATACTCATAAGTGAAATAAATCAGATTCACATATGTAAACATCATATTGCCTCCCTACTAGAAGAACCCAAAAGAGTCAATAAAATCTCAAGGATACAATAGATACTGTGAAAGGGAAAGAAACTACTCAAATAAGAAAGAGAAACTGGGATGAAGTGGGGAGAGGAAAAGATAGAAGAGAGAACAAAAAATATATATTATATATACACAAGATAGCTAGAATAATTGTACTACTAATTTCTATTGGTTTATTGAAAGGAACAGTTAATGTGCAATTGTTTGATCAATCTTACATGCCTATATCTGGTTACCTGAGCAACTACTTTGAAGATGACATTATGTATATAACAACCATTGCCAATTTCCTATCACCTTGTTTTGTAATTCTGTATCATTTTTATTGTTTTTTATGCTGTTTTGTTTATGTATTTGTTTTTGTTATCAGGTTTTTTTCATTTCTCTTTAAAATGAAAAAATATATATATATATATATACAAGGATAGCTAGGGTAGGTGTATTGCTGATGTCTGCGGTTTATTGAAAGGAACAGTTAGGGCTGGGGACATAGCTCAGTGGCATAAGCGCCTGCCTGGCAAGCTCAAGGTCCTGAGTTCGATCCCCGATACCACAAAAAAAAAAAACAAAAAAAAACAAAAAAAAACAAAGGAACGGTTAATGCTTAAAATGTTTTTTTTTTTTCCCTTGACCAATTTTGCATGCTTGTATCTGATAATCGGAACAATGGATTTTAAGACAACAACATGCAATATAATAACCACTGTTGAATTCCTACCATCTTGTATGGTGAAGCTCTGTATCATTTCCAATTTTTTTTATTACTTATTATTGTCTTTGATTGTTTGATCAATCTTGCATTCTCACATCTGGTGGACTGAGCAACTTCACTGAAGATAATAGTATGTAGTATAGCAACCATTGTTCATTTCTATCATTTTGTTTTGAGGTCCTGTATCATTTTTGTTATTTTTGTGTTGTTTTGCTTTTGTCTTCATTGTTGTTGTTTTGTTGTTTGTTTTCTCATTAAAATAAAAAATCAATATTGTTTTTAATTAAAGAAATACATCAATCTTCTTACTGATTTTTAAATAAATGAAAGCCAGAAGGATAAATTGATACTATTGCTGTCTAACTTTCTTCGAAAGGGCAATCAGTACAATTAAAGAAGAGAATGAATTAAATGGTATCAACACTGGAAAAGAGAGACAAAAGCAAAGTAACTTAAAAAAATATGCTCATGTGCCTGGAAATCTCAAAAGAATACAGTGAAAGAGGATTTCAGTGTACCAGTGAAATCAGTGAAAGAATCACAAAGGTGGCACTATGATTCCAGTAATCATATTTTGAAAAACAGCTCTCTGAAAAAAATTCAGCTATTTATAGCAATAAACTCTCACATCAGGAAAACAAAACAAGCTCAAATAAACAACATAATGTTCAACCTCAAGCTGCTAGAAAAAGAAGAACAAATAAAACCCAAAGCTTGTACAAGGGAGGAAATTATAAAAAGAAGAGCAGAAATTCATGCAATTAAGACTAAGAAAATACAAAGGATCAATGAATCAAAAGGTTGGTTCTTTGAAAGAATTAATAAAGTTGACAAGACATTAGCCAACCTCATCAAAAAGAGGAAAAAAAAATCACAATGAAAAGGGGGAAACCATAACAGATCCTACAGAAATTCAGAAGATCATCAATATCTACTATGAGAACCTATATTCTAATAAGATGGAAAACAGAAGAAATGGACAGATTCCTAGACACAACTGAGTTGGCACAACTAAATCAAGAAGATACAAAAATTCTAAATAACCTGATATCAGCCAATGAAATTGAAAATGTAATTAAAAATCTACCAACGAAGAAAATCTCAGGCCCTGAAAGATTCACTGTTGAATTCTACAAGAAATTTAGACAAGAACTAATGCCACTAATGCTGAAACTCCTCAAAGAAATTGAAAGGGAAGCAATACTTTCAAAATCATTTTTGGAGACAAGTAGTGCCCTGAATCCAAAATCAGAGAAAATCCCAACCAAAAAAGAAAACTACAAACCAATCTCCCTAATAAACATAGATGCAAAAAAACTCAATAAAATATTGGCAAACAGAATGCAGAACATCATCAAGAACATTATACACCATGACCAAATAGGTTTCACTCCCAAGATGTAGGAATGGCTCAATATATAGAAATCAATAAATGTAATACACCATATTAACAGAACCAAAGACCAAGAATCACATGATCATCTCAACGGATGCAGAAAAAACATTTGACAAAATCCAACAGCCATTCATGATGAAAAAAAAAAAAAACTACACAAAAATTGGAATAGAGGGTCTTTATCTTAATCTGATAATTAAGGGTATTTATCTTACTCAGATAATATCATACTAAATGGTCAAAAACTGAAAGCTTTCATTCTAAAATCAAGAACAAGACAAGGATGTCCATATCACCTCTCATATTCAATATAGTTCTGAAAACATTAGCCAGAGTAATTAGACTACAAAAAGAAATAAAAGGAATAAGGATAGGAAAGGAAGATGTTAAATTATAATTATTTGCAGATAACATGATACTGTATGTACACAGAAGAACTCAAAAGCTCCACCAAGAGACTTGTATATTTAATAACCAAATTCAGTAGTATAGCTGGAAACAAAGTAAACATTCAAAAACCAATAGCATTCCTGTACACAAGCAAAAAACTCACAGAAAAATTAGGGGAACCACACCCTTCACAATAGCATCAAAAAAAATGCAATATTTAGGAATAAATCTAACAAAAGTAAAAGATCTATACACTAAAAACTACAGTACTCTGAAAAAGGAAATCAAAGAAGATATTAGAAAATGGAAATAGATCCCTTGCTCATGGGTAGGAAGAACCAACACTGTAAAAATGGTCATACTCCCAAACTGGTATACAGATTTAATGCAAT